TGAACCAAGGGAGTTACGGCCCCTGCCTGAAGTTACAGCTGTTGCAACATCCCCACAGTCAAATTAGCAAAATTCAGGCACTTGGCAGCATGCCCATCCTTATGTCCATGTGGGTGCTGCAACACCAACCCACCCACTTCTCTCCCCCCATCTCAGCTGCCCACCTGGTCCAAGGCTGCCAAAGACTCTAGGGCAGGACTCCCCCACCTCACCATGCCTGGGAGACCTGAGTCCCTCCCCCACCTCCACTCCCGGGGCCAATTACATTGGCCTTATTCTGAAAGCACTGGGGGAGGGGGGAAACTATCTGCTAGTGAAAATGATCATTCTTAAAAACAAACTGCCTTTGCTACCTTTCTGGAAAGGAAAGAGCCTCTTCAACCTTCACCTCAATCATCTTCGATAGCAGAGTTCAGCTGCCTTTCTTTCAGCAGGTGCAGAAAAAGGCAAAGGTAAGTGGACCTGCCTATGGAAGGATGGGGAGAGGGACTGGGCTTTCTGAGCATGGTGGGGCAGGGAGAGGGACCAGGCCTTCTGGTCATGGCAGGTTTCTCTGCTCCAGTGGATACCAGACTTCTCAGCCCCCCCCCCCAGGTATCCCTGCAGATTGCTTAAGACCACAATTGGGAGAGGCAGGATTTCAGTCATTGAGCGAAGTGGGCCATGGGCATGTTACTTAACAATAGCTTCACTCTATGATCAAGATTCGGGTACCAACTGTGGTTTTAAGTCAAGAACTACTTGTACTGATTATTAGCTTACCAAGAAATTATACTGAAATTCAAGCTATGCACTTTCAGGTCTTGTCTCCCAAAAATGCTTCAGAGCCCATCGAAGCACCTGTTGCAGCAACTACCACAAGATCTTAGGAAAAGACATGGCTTCTTTAAAGTATTGCAAATAGATGCTACATTCATACTACCAAACACATCAAAGCGTACTTTGGAGACTGAACCTGAAGCAGAGGACATCCCAAAAAGAAGACATAACTTATTAAAACGGTCCTCTAAATCTGCCCATCATTCTTATCTGCCTGCATTGCACATCAAAGCCCTAAGATTTATTCCAAAATATTTCTCACGTTATTCAGTGAGACTTTTAATCGGAAGGTAAGCATTTCCAGGACAGCTTGTGTCAATTATTTCTTCCAAGCACCTCTCAACATGCTTCCTTCAGGTCTGAATCTTCTATTTCCTCTTGGGATCATTGCTGCTAAAAGAACAAACAAAGTCATCTCAAACAAAATAACTTGCTTTCTCAACAATTCTGTTGTGGGAACAAGCATTCCACAGATGACTCCAATAAAGAAAGCAGGTCAGGTTGAAAACAGAATTGATCTTGCAAGGCTTCAGCACACATTTTCCTTCTATTGCAAGGCCTAGATTATTCTCCTTTCTTCTCCCCACATGCCCTCAGGAATCACATTTAATCAAGTGAATTACTTCTTGCCACAGCTTTAAAATCAATGCTTGCAGCTACAAAAAGGCAAGTACAGTGTAAAAATAAATGTATGCTCAAGCTCTTGAGAGGCAGATATTTTAAGCAAGATTTAAATGAGCCAGTTTGAAACATCACAACTATACAAGGGGAAGCTTGACTTAAAGAAGACAGGACATCTAAAGCTTTAAGCTGTACATAGAAAAAAAATGTAGATAGCACAGCTTGTCAAATTAGTGTTTGTATAGTGCTTCAAAGATAATATTCATGTCAGATAAAATCACCTGCATCCAAAGTTCCATAAGTTCTACTGTGGATCTTAATAAATGAAGCGTATTTGTATTCATTCTATTTATATATATTTTTTGCATATCTGTCTTAACTTTCCACTCCTTCCAATTAATTTTTCATTTATTACCCTCTAAACAAATAAAAAAGCATTAAACAAAGCAATCGCTCACAAATGATCCAAACATGTAATATCAACTAACTGGAGAAAAAAAGACTGCAACTACAAGCAGCAGCTTAACTTTATATCATAACAAACGAAGTTACATAAAATTATTTGGAACACTCCAAATGCCTCCAGAGACTGTATATCAGGCCTCAATATTAATATTGCATACAAGATTTATAAACAGATGTTTTCCACCAAAGTCACCCAAGAGGACGTGTTCAATTCTCTGAAACAGAACTTCATAATGATCATTTTGAGGAAATTAATTCCAACACTATCATCAACTGTTAAATGTTGGACAATCAAGCAATCTTCTCCAACCCTCATCATGTTCAACTACCATAATTAAACTTCTGAAGGACACCCAGTTGGAAAAGGCTGTCTCATTATCAAAATATTTCAACTGCTGCAACTTTTTCAAAGAATGCCCAAATACAGGTAGCCCTCAACTTAATCACCATTTGTTTAGTGACCATTTGAAGTTACAACAAAAAAAAGCAACTCAGAATTAGCCCTCATACTTACCACCATTGCAGCATCCATAAAGTCACATGATCAAAAATCGGGAGCTTGGTATCCAAGTCATGTGACCACTATTTGTGACTTCCCCAGCTAACTCCTGACAGGCAAAGTCAATAGGGGAAGCTGGATTTGCTTAACAATTGAAGTAATTTAATTTAACCATGGCAAAAAATATCATACAATTGGGTGTGACTCATTTAATAACTATCTGCTTAGTAACCGAATATGTAGTCTCATTTGCGGTCATAAGTCAAGGACTATCTGTACTTTACTTATAACTGCTTTTTAAAAAGGAAGAAGCAATATTCAAGAAAAAGCTACTTGGATTTCAAAGATCCTATCAATTAGTTCATACAACTAAGATGGAAATCTGGAATTAAAAATCTCTTCATTACTTTCCTTTGTTCAATCAACCCCAAAAAGCTAAGCTCTTACAATGCTGGCTTATGGCTGGCTTAACCATAATTTTTAATAACAATAGTTGTCTAACTTCAGACAACTTGCTAACTATAAACATTAGCAAACCATAACACCTGAATTCATGCAACATTGTAAGCTATACACCTGATTAGCTTACTGGGTGAATCCATTTGCAAATAGATGTGCAGTTCTTTGGATTTCAAAGCAAAAAGGCAAAATCCCAGGAAAAGGCATACAGGTAGTCCTCAACTTACAACAGTCTGTTTAGTGATCGTTCAAAGTTACAATGGCACTGAAAAAAGTAACTTATGACCATTTTTCACACTTAAAACCGTTGCAGCATCCACATGGTCCTGTGATCAAAAGTCAGACGCTTTGCAACCGACTCATGTTTATGGCAGTTGCAGTGTCCTGGGGACATGTGATTACCTTTGGCGACCTTCTGACAAGCAAAGTCAATGGAGAAGCCAAATTCATTTAACAACAGTGTTACTAATTCAACCACTGCAGTGATTCATTTAACAACTGTGGCAAGAAAAGTCGTAAAATAGGGCAAAACATTTAACAAATGTCTCACTTAGCAACAGAAATTTTAGCCTCAATTGTCGTAAGTCGTAAGTCGAGGACTACCTGTATTTGGTCTGAAGTAATGCAGACAGAATGTGTGCCTAGGCCAGGGGTAGGCAAGCTTGGCTCTTTTATGACTCGTGGACTTCAACTCCCAGAATTCCTGAGCCAGCCGAGCTGGCTACCCCTGGCCTAGGATATAGAAAACACCTTAAAGTACCTTTTTGATTTCAAATCCAAAAAGTGCTGCACAGCTTAACAGATATCAAGTCAGTAGGTCAATGACCATAAACAATATCATAAACAATATATATTTAGCTCTCAACCTAGAGCTAAAAAAAAATATTTTAAGTTAAGATGATGATCAAGAATTGCCAGGATAAAACAAAAGAGTCAACTGGCAGGCTGCATTCAGCATTATGGACCTTAAGAAATTAAAGTGAAATTGAATATCAGAAAACTGATGCTTTGCCTTTCCATTTTTAATATGTAGTGATTTTCACCCATGAGGAAACAGAAATTCATTCCCAGATTCAATGAATCTAAACTGCACCAGGCAGATTTGACTTTAGATTGTAAACAAAGCTTGTTCAGGCAATTAAGCCATAGGTTATTATATCTCAGCTGTTTCTGACAACCCTCAGATTTTTTTAGATCCCTATACCTGTATTTTTATTTTGCCCCAGAACGCTTTTACAAACCAACAAACAGCATTTTGAAAATGAGAATTAGTTCCATCTAGAAAACAGAAAATTTAATCTTTCACATATGCATATATTCTTCTTTTGCCTGATGAAAGGAGTTGCAAATGCCTTGAAACAGCATTCCCTAATTTCCTCTCAGGTGCCTCAATAAACAGGTAGTGGCTGATGCTTTCTCTCCTAAAGGTGAAGTAGTAACTTTTCTGACCTGCTTCTCTTATTGCAAATTTGGAGGGGGCGGGGGAGGTGAGAGAAAGAATATCTGCAGACAGTAGAACCCTTCCAGGAGCCTGACACACAAGTTTCTTCAGACAACCTTCTCTCCTTCCTTGTCCATGAGTGTCTGAAGAAATTACAGAGTACACAGCAAGTTCCAAAAGCCAATCAGGAGGTTCTCTTTTCTAACACATCTTCTGCACTCATTCTTTCTTCAGAACCTTTCCCTGCTCACATTTCTAACTTAATTATAAACAGACTGGAAAATGTAGACAAAAGGGATCAGAACTCAGGACATTTCTGATCCATTCTTGGAAGTCTTCCAAAACTCCACGATACAAGAAACACGGAAAAAGATAAAGCCACAGGGATCCACTACTTGCATCGCGGAAGGCGATCACATCTTTCCCCCTAGAGTCCCCACCCGCTAAACCCCGATTTTCCCACCTCACCGACTAGTGGTATTATTTTCTCCATTAAAATGCTCGTAGGTTAACTATCCTATACTAAAGCCACGCCAGAATACGTGAGCAAACCTATCGCCTCGTTTTCCCACCCCGTCTCTTCCGAAGAGAAAGAGCGATCCCCTCACTTTGTTAAACCCAGAAAGCGGAAAGGTAACGGATGATTCACACGCTCCTCTGAGCACAAAACACGCCTCCCATTCATTTCTCACCCACCTGCATAGAAACGGATGAGGCAGCCGGTCTCCGAGTCCATGCCCTCCTCCTGCACCCGCCACAGGTCCCGGAAGCCCAGCTGCGAGAGGTAGTCGTTTTGAATCTGCAGGGGCTTCTCGTGCGATTCCAGCCTGCGGGCGGTCTCTCCGTGGAGCTGGACATACAAGGCCGGAGGCTGCTGCGGAGAGGCGGCTTCCCCAGCAGGAGAGGAACTTCTCCGCAAAGCCTTCCCCTTGCCCGGGGAGTCCCCCGAAGCTCTCCCTAGTCGGGATTCCGGACTGTGCACCGAAAGCGGATCGCCTGGCCGGCGTGGCTGGCTCCTTCCAGGCCCCGATCCTGCTCCTTCTTCCTTCGCCGCGGCTGGAGGCGCAAGATCCGCTTCCGATTCTTCCGAAGACGACGAAGAGCCCCCGCCCCCGCTATAAGGATCCAGGCGGTCGGAGGCGCTCTCGGCGCTGGGGCTGAAGCTCTCGGTATCCGACCCTCCCAAGAGGGACGGGCAAGAGAGCGGAGGGCCGGACAGGTAGAGTTCGGTACGGGGCGGCGGAAAGGCCCGTCCGGGGCTGCAGTCGGAGGGGGAAAGGCTGGGCTGCCCACTCGCCAGGCCGCTCTCTCCTCCACTGAGAGCCAGGCGCCTGGGCCGAACAACCGCCGCCTCTCCAGCTCCCAAGCCGTTCGGGGCCCCTCGACGGCTTCGGGGCCTTCTCCCGACTGGGATCGGGGTTAAACTTCCCGCTGGAGAAGTCGGAGCCTCCACGGGCTCGGGCAGCGCCTCTTCTTTCCCGCCAAGAGAAGCTGATGGTTGTAGGAGCAAATCATCTGCTGCCTCCTCTTCTTTAGGGGGCAGCGGAGCCTCGGCCATGGCTGCCGCCTTCCCCCAAACCCGGACAGCGCTACTACTCCCTCCTCCCCGGTGTCCGAGCTGCAGCAACCGAAGCGCCACTTCAGCAGCCGTGGTCTCCAGGTTGCAAAGCACGGGGAGCAGAGAGCAGCTGCCGCCGCCGCTACCCCGCTGTTGCTGCTGCTGCTGGTGATAGTAATAATAGACATGGACGCATCCTCGCTGTAGGTCCCGCCGCACCCAGTCTCGCTCTGGGGCTTGGAGAGGCTGAAGCTGCCGGGGCGGCTTGGGCAGCAAAAGCAGGGTCTTCCGATCTAAGCTGCGGGTCCCCAGCGCGGTGGCAGCGGCGATCGGAGCGGCGGGGGAAGAAGCCGCCGAGAGATTCCTCTTCAGTCTGCCTCTCCGCAACAGGAGGGAGTTGGCGCCGCTGCTGGGAATAGCCGGCGCCGCCGCCGCTTGAGTCCCGTTGGCCGCTAGCGCCAACGAAGCACTGCAGCCGGTGGCCGCGGCCCCTCGTTTCCTTCGCCGATGGTGGCCGCCGACTACCCCTGTTCTCGCGGCTCCTGCGGCGGCGGCTGTTCCTTTGCCACCTTCCAACGGGCTGGGTCCTCCTATGCCATTGCCGTTCTCGATGCCGGGGGCTGCCTGGCCCGAGTTGCTCGGCCGCTCCCCCTTGCCGATCATCGGGGCCGGCGTTTCTCTGCTTCCAAGCTGTGGTTGCTGCGCAGGTTCCATTGTAGAACGCCCGGGCGAGCCGCGTTCCGAAGGGGGAGGGGGCGCGGGATTATGTAGCAACAGTGAACATTCCGTCGGTGTCTTAACGTTCCATTCGGCTCAGCCTTGCCGCCGCGCAGCTGCTGCCGTTGTCGCGAGCGCCATTAGGGACTGGCGAAGAAACAGGATCAGCAGGCGGCAGCAGCAGCAGCAGCAGCAGCAGCCGCCGCCACCGCCTCTTTCCTCCCTCCCACCCGGCGTGGCCTCTCCTCTCCTCTCCTCCTCAGGCTCCTCATGAATATTAAAGCAGGCCTCTTACGAAGGGTGTAATTTTCTGTTCGCCTCCCTCGCTCTACCTAACGAGCAACGCCATTCGAGCGCCTTCTTAATATTCATGAGGAGTGACGACATCCCTCGTGAGTTAGGAAAGGGCGGGGCTCCAGCGATAAACAAAACGTGATAATTTGCGCCCAAGATGAACGGTGGGAAAAATCGACCTATGAAAAGGTTGCTGGGAAGCGTAGTTCTGAAGCTCAGCTCTGCTTCCCGAGATCTCCCAATGTTGACTACATGTCCCTTCAGCCGTCGCGCTCTTTTCATTGGGCGGGAGAGAAAAGGCAACTCCCAGGTTTCCTTCCTCCTTTAGTTGCTCATTCTTTTCTTGGCTTGTGGTATCTCACGTGTGGTGTGGTTGTTTCAGTTGTCTTTTATCTTTCTTTATCCCTATTTGCCCTTGATCTTTATATATAATTCCACAATTGTTGTGGCTTTCACAGATACAAACATTTGTACGTATATTATTTGCAAAGAATAAGAGAATATTTGTTCTCAATGTCCAGATACTTATGATACTGCACTTCATCAGCAAACATCGAATTCACTACTTATGCAGAGGATGTTTTATTGCAGTTTGATTCATTTCTGTTTGAGACATGAAAATTTGGGGAAATTTCCCAAACTGACAGACTAGACTGCAAAAAAATTAAAATTCATGCATCCAAAGCAAATGAGCAGGCAGGAGTCTGACCACTGTATCTCTGTGATTATATGATTAATTGCTCTGGCTTTATTCAGTCAGGAAGTTTATCCAAGCCAGAACAATGATTCATACCTGTAGAAATATAGGAAGTTGCCATTCTGAGTCAGATGACTGACCCATCTCACCCAAGAATATAAAGGCAATCCAACAGCAGTTCCTTAGACTTTTCCAAAATATTTTCTCTCCATTTGGAGATGAGCTTACAGCTGAAAACTTCAACATACACTACAAAATATGTTGTTGTTTTTTTACCTTACATATAGTTAGTAGTGGCCACTTCTGCCCAAAGTTGATAGCTACCTTTACACCATACATAAGGAACCTATAGGTCTGATCCCCTATCTGCATTTTTCTCCATTTATCAAATTTTTCCTTGTTAATGCTAATGGTGTCCAAGTAGTGCACCAGTTGTTTTGTAATAGCACCTAAGGCACCTATTACTGTAATGTCCATTATCTCCTTTTTTCACTCTTTCTTATCAACAGTTGTTAAGTCTGGAGTATTATGTGGCAGGCGTTTGAATTATAAAGTTCCAGAGCACTTTAGTATATTTATTTTCTATTACTTTGTCTATTTTGAGCTCTCGCTATTTCTTGCTTCCAGGCAAATGATATTTCTTGCAGCTCTTCCAATACACCATTATTATACTTTGTCATGCCATTGTCAGTCTGTGTGATCCTCTCGCAGCAACTACCCAAGTAGTTTCTATACCATGATTTCTTCAGCTTCTTTGTAGAAGTTGCTGCCTGTTGCTATCTGCTCAATTCTGGCTTTGTACGCATTTGTTCTTAAGGCTTGGTCTTGTGCAAACAGAATTAGGCAAGAAGACCAAATGATGTTCTAGTTTCAGTGCATCTTCCTTATTGTCCTTCAGATATTCTTCCATACTATGCCAGCTAGGTATCTAATGACTGGAATTGCCCAGGTGTTAATTATCTTGATGGTATTTCCTCCACTAACTAGCATCTTCTTCACTCTCATGATGTAGTCACTACAGTACTAACCTTCTTGACTTCAGTTTGTGCTTGATATTGTCATTTGAAAGGTGCCCAGGTATTTTGTTGTGATCATCTTCATTCAGACACTTGATATTACTTCCATGATGCATCTTTATTTCTTCAGTTTTCACTACTTTTTCCCTGTTGATGGTGGGGGTGGCATATTTGTCTAGTCCAAATTCCATTGCAGTATCTTGGCTGTATATAAGGATAGCATTGAGCAGCAATTCTATTTCCATACAGCTTCAGATCGTGTAAAAGAGATAAGATAGCTAGATGTTTTTGATGTTTGATAACCATGGCATGACTTGTTCAGTATTATTGACAGAGGAATCAATGCAGTGACAAACAATAGTGGTGAAAATGAGTCTCCTTGAAAGATTCCTCTCCTGATATTAACCTATCATCATTGATCAGCAACTGTGTCTTCCATTGTGCTACTCATCTTTGCACAAAGCTTCTGATATTTCTATTGTTATTGTTGGACACATAGCCAGATGTTTAGACTGGGTGACAATATTATTATTTAAACTGACCCTCAATGACTCTGGGCGTTCACAACAATCAAATTACATGAAATCAATAAAAGATAAAGATAAAAGATGGCAAGTTTAACGGCATGAGAGGGTCTCACTCACCCTCACCAAGGCCTGGGTGAACAGCCAGATCTTCCCAGCTCTCCTAAACAACAGCAGAGTGGGAATCATCCAGATCTCAGAAAGAACTTTGTTCCAGAGCAGGTGTTGCTACAGAGGAGGCACATTTCTGGGGTCTGTATAGATGCCGTTGTTTTCAACTGAAGAAACTCGGAGTGCACCAACCCTGCAGGATAGAATCTGCCATGGTTAAAACAACAAAAAAGATATATGGACCAAGTAATAATTGCAGCCATAAGATAAGAAAACAACAGCCAATGCTGGAATATTGATTCCACTGAATAATATTCATGATGTCAGGTCGTGAAAAAAAATAATCATAACAAAATACCAGCAAATATCAGCATATGCATAAAATTCATGTTAAATGCAGAACTGGTTCCATACTATAGCCTCTTCTTATTCCTTGTGCTTTGTTTTGACCCAGGTACCACTGATTAATTTGCCAAACATGCATCTTGAAGCAGAGAAGAATTGTTCATCTCTTCCTACAGAGGAAGCCTAAAGAGCTTGCTCTTTGTGATTGATTAATAACTGCAGCTTTTGCCTGTGGCTGTGCGTCTTTCCTCCTACAGGCTCTCATTCTGTAAAGGCTGCAATGAAACCTTGTGCCAAATGCTTGTTCAGAAATGCTACATTCTGTCCTAAAGTGAACGATGTTGGCAAGAAGCTCCAAACATTATCATTGGTTGGAGACAGACAATAACTTTTCCTCCAACAAGCATTCTAAATATGTTTTCAGTCAGCAAAACATGACCGGCTGACTTAATGCAAAGGCTGGCTGCAAATCTCAATGCACTCAGTTGTATAAGCAGGAGCAATGCCATGTAAATCACAGGCAACTCAGTTTTTTTTTTTTTTTTTTTTGCCAAAGGGAGAAACAAGAAGAAAAAGATTTTACTATCACCCCTTCCATTTTTCTGTTTTAACTATTAGAGTGGAAAGCTTTAATCAGCAGTTACTAATTTAAAGCTGCAGTTCATTAATCAGTGCGAGTCACTTTTAAATCAATGAAGCTGGGAATTAAGTAATATGTGTAACGCGGTTCACATTTCTTAGCATATAATGGGGTTTCAAATTTTCAGTTTGAGACTTTCTCTTCATACAAGGAATAGCAATTTGTTTAGTAAATAAAGGTTATCTCAGAAAGATAGAGATTTGCTGGGTGTAATAAGTCCTAACAATGCCTGCTCAGATAATGTATCTCCTAGTATGTTTTTTCAGTTCCATGTATGGTAACAGTTCCATCAGATTGGTGGAGTCTGTGGCTATATTCACACAGTGTGCTCAACCCCATCTGTAACAGCCCTAATATGTCATCTAAACCCAGAAAATTCCAAATTACAAGAGAGGCAGCTTTGTTTCCCAAAAGCCAATGCTAGTTATATTCTACCAATCATTCCACTTGAAACTAAAGAACAAAACCCACCGATTTGCCATGGAGGGTGGACCCAGCCTGGTCTCTGGTTATGTCTTCTTCACCCACATCCAGTTCGTGCAAAGTACATCAGGGATAGCCATTTTTAGCCAAGATTGTGTCTCAGATATACAGTATACCGGCACACTTGGATGAGAAATGAAACATTTTCAAGGAAAAACAATAACAAAGTCCAGTTGCCTTTTGGAAAAGCGCGTTTGGAACAACTATGACCTGGATGATTGAGAATCTCCATAGATACTGGATACATAAAATAAACTGGCTGAGGTTTTAAAAACTAAAAGGGAAATATAAATGTTAAACCAAGAGAATCATCTGGAATTTTTTTTATATCCTCTACAAAAAAGACTTGTTAAAGCCTTGAAGAAATTTGTGTGATAGGATAAAGAAGAATTGAGGAGAAATCAAATCCTACAATAATATTTGATTGAATTAAAGATTGTTATAAACGGAAGAAATATAAAGTTGGTTTATTTGATCAAGGTTAAAATAAGACCTTTTTTTTTTTTTTTGCAAAGTTCTAGCAACCCTTGTAGACTTTCTGCTGACTTTGAGATTGAAAAGTTGATGATTTTTAGATTTGCTTATATCTGAGCGATAGAATAGGGGCTGAAGAGAATCTGTTTAATGTTAGAAGGGTGACGAGTTATTACATTTGTTTATACTTGTGATAAAGGTTAGAAGTCATTTCTTTATATATTTATTTTTGTTCCCTTTATTCTTTCTTTTCTTTGTTTTTATTTTTTTTTAATTTTTTAATCCTGAATTTATTATTTTTATAAATAACTCAAGGTGGTGAAAATACTTAACATTTCTTCTGCCTCCTTTTCCCCACAACAATAACCCTGTGAGGTGAAGTTGGATTGAGAGAGTGTGACTGGCCCAAAATCACCCAACCAGCAGAACTAGAACTTACAGTGTCCTGGTTTCTAGCCTGATGCTTAATCATCAGACCAAACTTTTATTTCTATACTCTTTCTCTAAGTTTGTATTGGTTTTTTTTACAACTGTGATTAAAATTCTTAATAAAAATTATATTTTAAAAGAAATGGTTGCTGCAACTGCAAACTCTGTACCTTTGAGAAGGTACAAAGAACAGAGGGCAGATCCTGGAACTACAACTAAAAATGGAAATTCAGTTCTGTTTGTATGTATGTATAATAAAATTCAATAAATACCGATCACCAAGAGAGAAATAG